ATATTTGATAAAAAAAAAAAAAATTTCATTATAATGGTTTGTTGAGTAAATTTCAGATTATTTTCCTGAAAATAACAATTTATACTGCAATAAAGCTTCTTCATATAAATGCTAAACTGGAGAAATAGTGATAAAAATACCAGTATAAAAGTTGTCACCTAAAAAATAGATATTCTATTAAGGTATAGCTGAGAAAAGCTGAATTTTCGTTATTTTAAAGGGGTAAATAATTTTGTGACGACTCATACGGAACTTGTTACTAAAATGTTACAATGTTGTGACGAGGAGGGGGGGGGAAGTAGTCTAAAATGGACAAAACTCGCGTAAAGTAATTTGTGGACAACCCTAAGTTAATTTTTAGTTTTTAGCATGCTTATTGTTTTTAAAAAACTTTACTTTAAAAAAAAATCTAAAAGTCTTCAATCTGTCAGCAATCTGAAAAAAGCTGAGGTCTTTTTATTAACAAACTTGATATTTTTTATTTAAATGTTTTATGGGCATCTAAGTTAACATTTTTCAAAAAACGTCTCAAATCTAAATTGGGCTAGAATATGTATTTAACATCAGAATAATAAGTTTCAATTCAAAAAAAAACTGGTATCGTTATTAAACAACAATTTTTTAAATATATAACAAGCTCACATGGATCAAAATATTAGCATAGCAGTCGTAGCGCAATGGTTAGCTCACTTGTCTAAGAAGCTAGAGATCCGAGGTTCAACGCCATCTCTAAAATCAGTAAGGAAGAAGGCGCAAACTTTCAAATGCTCTTCCGCGGTGCTCTGTAATAAGACTGTAAGGATTTTTTGGGGCACCTAATGTTAAAGAATAATAATTCAGAAAAGCATATCATAACAGGAAATATATTTTAAACTTAGTAGTTGGGCATACTTTAAACTTTTCGGAGTTTAAGAAAGATTACTAAAATAAAAATAATCAATTATATTAATCATTTTATGCTTCAGAGTGAAATAAGAATTAATGTTAATTTTAACAATAGTTGTTAAAATTAACAATAATTCTGTAAATTATTGTAAATTATAAAATAAAAATGTAAATTAGTAGAAAATCACTTAGCAAAATTTTTTCTCATTTAACACTGTGTTTCATCAATAAAGACTCATCAGAAATGCATTTCACAGTGTTAAATGAGAAAAAATTTTGCTAAGTGATTTTCTACTAATTTATATATATATATATATATATATATATATATATATATATATATATATATATATATATATATATATATATATATATATATATATATATATATTGAACATTGAGCACTCTTTTTGTAGAATACATTTTAAATTGTTTAAATATATATATATATATATATATATATATATATATATATATATATATATATATATATATATATATATATATATATATATATATATATATATATATATATATATATATATATATATATATATATATATATATATATATATATATAATATATATATATGATTAAAATTAAAATGACATATTTTTTTGTCAAATTTCATTAATTATATCTTTTACCATTTTAACTTTCTTTATATTTCTTGATTTTCAATGTTTAAAAACTATTATAAAAAAAGTCAGTCAAGTGTCCGAAGTTATCCCACATGCGGGTTAACTTCGCATGCGGGAATGGAATGACTTCGGATGCGGGATGACTTCGGACACGAATACCGGGAATGTATAGGGAAGATCAAACAAATAAATATGCAATTTCAACAATGATAGTTAATTTTTTATTTATAAATTATTGCAATTGGTATTCATCGAAATTGCACTTGAAATATATCATGTCCTTAAAAAAAGACCTCTTGTCTTCTGTAGAAACTGGCGATGCACACACTACATCAGTATAGATAATGAATGCAAATTCTTCATTAGTTCTTATAAATGAATTGGAAGGGGTTTTCCTTTTGTAAAGCTCCACTTCATGACCACCTTTCACTTTTCTAACAACTGTATAGTTGCTGTATAGCTACGGCTTAAATGGTTTCCGCATCCATATACCAATACAATTATAAATCTTCTATCTGCAGATTAAAAGTATCAGCATTGTTGTCATTGAATCCATTGTCATTAAGGTTATATGTACTCTCATCCGTTGAAATTTGTAGGTCTATTGATTCATCTGAAAACGATTCTCGAAGAATTGCTTTTTTAAGAGGTTTTCCCCTGTAGAACCTTCTTCTTGGTTGTCTTTTTTGTAAGCCTCTTCGCCATTTTTGCTTTTTTTTCGCAGCTGCAAGTGCTTAATTTCCCAGGGTATCTGAGGTTATTATTGATCTACCCTTACGATTGTGCAAATAGAAATTTACAAAACTTTAAAAATGTTTAAAAAAAAATTGCATTAATTCTGGCAGAGTTCGTAAGATTTTACCAACAACGTTGAGTATATACAGCTCCAAAGGTTGGCAAGATAAACAGTCAATCATATGCTAACAAGCAACTACTTATAATGATCACTTATTAGGCTAATTACTGAGCACTATTCAGTTTATCTAAATTTTACATAAATATTATCAAAATAACTTAATAAATTTACAAAGCTTCAATCCTGTTTAAAATGCCAAAAACGCAGCAAAAACCTAGGCGTGACACAATTAGTTCTTATACTTTTCTAAAAATGCCAAACAAACATAAAAATTAAAAACTTTAAACAAAGTTATTAATTTATCTAATACATTTTTTACATATCAAGGAATTGTTACCAAGTCAACAATATATACAGGGAATGATACCAAACAAAGCGTTAAGTTGCACTCTCCATTACAAAAAATTCAAAAAAATCAAGAAATAGTTTAAAAGTATCAATAATTAATTGATAAACGATAATAATTAAAATTTTGTTATAATTTTGTATATTTTTTTGTTTAAATAGATTTTTGTTCTTATTTTCCATTGGATCTTTTTGAGGGGAAAAAATAACAAATTTATTTATATGTTACTCTATTTTATGGAACTTTAATACAATTAAAAATAAAAGTTCTACGCAATTCTAATATAGTTTTTTCTTTTTAACAAAATAAAATTAAGAACAACTTTGTTTTTACTATTTAATCAAAACGTAAAGTGTAGTTAAAGTTATTTTTTAGTGTTAGTTGTGTATTACTTTATTTCAAATTAGATACTTACGCACATTTTGATTTCGTATTGTTTTCTAGTTTATCAAATCAGTAGAAAAATAGAGTGAGAGCGAAAGGGTGGAGATAGTGGACGGCCAAAATGCCTGTTTATAAACTTATAACGCAAGAGCGTCGCGAAAAAAAAAAAAAAACGTCGGTTCGTCTGTAGTTACAAAGTACGACGTCGTTATTTTTTTAAATTTTCATAAAACTTTTCCTGTAACTTTTATTCGAGACGAAGCCTCAAGATTAGTTGTAAAAGCTTCCAATTGTTTTAATTAAAGTCGTGGATAAAAATAAAATAAAAAGATTCTGCTTAGCTTTAAACAAAAACAAACCTAAAAGAAGAAAGACAAGTAGATCAAGTCAGATGATATCGAAACAGAAGAAAATAATGAAAACAAAATAAAATACAAAAACGCAAAGTAGTTAATAAAGATTTTAAAATAGCAGGATAATTTTTTTTGTGTGTATAAAAATTCTTACTAATATGGTGAGTTTAGTTAGCTCGTTTATTTTTATTTTTTTTTAAATTTTTGTTGTTATTATGAAACATCCGGAATACCGTTTGTGCGTGTGTGCATGTTTTTTGTTCGTGTTTTTTATAAAGGAATACATAAATACTTATTTTTAAATTCAAATTTAACGTTATTGAAACGACAAAAACACAAATAACCCGAAGAGTTGATTGTATACGTAAGTGCGGTTTTGTTTATTTTACTAATATTTTAAAATCATTTTTATAAGTGGTTGCTTTCAAGGATATTTGTAAGTGGTTGGTTTTAGAGATATTTGTAAGTGGTCGGTTTCAAAGATATTTGTAGGTGGTTGGTTTTAAAGATATTTGTAAGTGACTGTTGCTAAAGACTTCTTTTGAAACAAGTTAGTCTGCAACAGCTTATTTGCAAGTCATCCTTTTGACATTGAAATTTACTGTAAACACTGTTATTCAAATAACATATTTAATAATATATAATTGTCTTATTCAAATAATATATTATTTGAATAAGACAATTTTTTTAGCGTTGGAAGTTATTGAAATCTTTTAAGTCTTTAGATTATATTTTAAATATTTAAATTAAGTTATTGCAGGTTAAAACTTTTAGATTATAATTTAAACATTTAGATTATGTTTTATTTACTAATTTTTGATGCATGAAACACCTCTTGGTTCATAATGTGTAGAAATGCACGCACTTCACTCATTTTTCACTGTGAAACTACAGCAAAATAGTAATTGAAACTCGGTGCTTTGGTATTTGTTCACGGTGCTTCACAATGGAAACACGGCGTTTTAATTATTATTTTACTCAAATGTCATAATGAGGAATGAAAAACAAAGTATGTACATTTGAACACACGAGAACACACAAAATACATTCATAATTATTATTTAAGTGTTGCCATTTATAAATGTAACAAAATTTACAAAATGTTTTTATTACGTTAAATTTTTGTTTGCCTGGTAAATAGCCTTTATAAAATATAATCTTATATATGTTTTAAATTCATGCACGTAAAGCATTATGCATTGTTATAAATGTATATATACATATATATACATATATATATATATATATATATATATATATATATATATATATATATATATATATATATATATATATATATATATATATATATATATATATATATATATATATATATATATATATATATATATATATATATATATATATATATATATATCTGTGTGTGTGTGTGTGTGTGTGTGTGTGTGCGTGTGTGAACATATATCTTGGATTTTTTCACAACATAAACTCAATCTTTTTTATTTTAGTTTTTGTATAGAAAGTTGTAAATAAATTTGTGTATTACATGCTATAATAATAAGCATAATAAATATAATATAAAAATTGTCTGCTATATTTACATCATATTAAAAGGAACTATTGTTGAAGAAATATACTCGCATAAAACGCGAATAAAATTGTAGGTAAAAAGCTCTTATTAAAGCGAGTGTAAAAAGTTGAGTGAAAATTTAAAACAAACATGAAAATTGGGTATTTTGCCACCAATCTTTATTTTCTTCATAAAGTTTTTGCATCGATGTCAATGTTAAATGCGAAGCGTCAGGGCATTCTAAAATAATAAAGAGTTTATAATCACTAAATGGGTTATTGAAGCTTATACTTCCTAAAACTATTTTTATTATTTACTTCAAAATAAAATAAATACATAAGAACAGCATTTTTTTTTTTCTAAATGTTTTTTTACAACTAAGTTAGTTCTCAATTTTAAAAAAATGTTGTTTATTTATTAACAATTTTACCTGTCAATACTTCACAAATAAATTATAGGCTATAATACTTCACAAATATATTATATGATACTTCTATATAATTCTATAATACTTAACTTACTTTTTTGACACTTTTCTCCATACGATTTTGTGCCAGTACAATCACATCGAAATTTTCCACGCTTCAATACTTCGCATTTACCTCCATTTTCACAGTGAGACGAGTTTTTGCATGGGTTGACTAAATTTAAAAACAGTTATAAGTCCGCTTATTAAATCGAACTTTTCAAGAAAGATTAAGGCAGCAAGACTATTTCTATGGTTTAAAACAAAGCTATACAATTAGTTGCTTCCATGCATTCTTTTGCTGTGCTAAATGTAAACTTTTCTTTTTCTTCTGAGCAATGTGTCTTGCAGTAGCATTGATCATCTTTGGTTTCGTAATAACACCCGTGTAGTTGCTGATTACAGTATGAAGATGTAGAGCTAATAACTTAAACGAAAAAAAAAATTAGAGCTTTCAACTTTGAAAGAAAAAAAAAGGGAAAATAGTTCAAAAAAGTAAAGTTAATTGCTGTTATTGTATACTCTTAATCCCTTTGAATCTTAGACAATGTATTTTTCCTAAAATCTTATCACTTAAAAGTATAAAAGTTTAATCTTTTAAAAGCATATCTAGCAAAAGATATGCTTTTAAAAGTCTGCTATGATTTTTTTTTAACAATACCTAACGTAAAAAGTACTTTATATACTTAACTAGACTCTAAAACATTTACTTTTAGAGCGTTTAGTTAAGCGAGATTCACAAATTTCTAAACAAGTTATCTCCTATCTTTATGATTTATAATTTTAAGATTCAAAACATGAAGTACGAATCTCAGTGGGCACACAACATCCACTTACATTTTACAAATGTAAATCTCCGCTAGAATTGATAAATAGATCTTTATTAATTTTTTACAAGTTATAAAAAACATTTCTGCAGACTCTTTGATTTTAAAATAACAATGGTTCAGAACTATTTTTCCAAAATCGTAAGCCATGCACATAGTTTGTTTATATTTTTAAAACTAATAGTAAACATAAAATTTACTGTTGCGAAAAAAAAAAAACAATTTAAAATTTTTTTAGCTCCAATCAGAGGCGATTCTATGAATTAAATTGAGGAGTAGCCTAAGTTCTTAAAAAAACCCAGCTATAACTTGAAAATCACCTTCTTTAGGAGAGGGTGGAACACTTGCCCCCTCACACACCTCCCCGTAAAATCGCCTCTGGCTGCATTAATAATTTTAAATTAATATTCGTTTTCAAAATGAGTGTTTAATAAATAAAAAAAAATTGAAAAAAATATACAAACAAAAGTACTTGAGCGGTGTTGCTTTAGACAGCTTATTTTTGTCTTAAATTGGAAAGGATTCGAGCATAACTCTTGCTGTACATGACAAAAGCATTGGTTTGTTTTATAATCAAAATTGCATCCGTAGAACTTCAAATTACAGTTAGTGGATACTTTATCGTTTTTCACCAAACTACATAAAGCTGAAACATCAAACAAATAAAATCATAAAACGTGAGAAACTTGAAAGGAAAAAATGACAAAAGTTTTAATATTACTAAGTAAATTTTAACTTTTTTTTTTAAACTCAAATTTCAGTTATTTGTAGTTACATTGATGTGAGTGTTTACTTTCTATATCAAGTAAAATTGATTTATACTTAGCGGCTCCGCAGTAAGTACACTTATTGTACAACGCTTTAAGTTATAGGGCAACATATACACTGAGAACAATAAACTTTAATCTTGTTTCAAATTACTAGCAGATTAAAAGGGGAATAGAGTTTAACATTTGCGGGTAGTTTACATATAAAATCTTTTAAAAGGTTTCAAAAGACTTCAAAAATATGATTCATCAAAGTAAAAACTAATAAAAGAATATAAATTTATATATAAATGTATAATTATTGGTTGATAAAAGTTTAAAAGCTTTTTTTATTACTCGAGTTTAAATTAGAGTGATAAGAGAATCTTTGTATTTAAACTTTTATCAACCAATAATTAAACAATTATGTATAAATTTAAATATTTTTCTTAAATATATCTTTTTTATTTTTAAACATGTGACGCTTTAGCGTCTTTTTTTTTATAAATGATTTTCTTCAGATCAATAAAGTTTTTAATTATTATTCATCAAAATTTATATCTTTAATTTTTCTGAACTGTCACGAAAAACAATGCAAATGATTATTTTAAAAAAAAAAAAAAAAGTTTTAAGGCAGAAACTAAATTAAAAAAACAAAAAACAAACACAAAATATAAATTAAAGGCATCATAAATTGTTATGTTTACATAAAAATAATAGTTTTCGATTAAAGCTTTGGTAAATTAAGAAAAAAGGTTGCTTTTCAAAACTTATAGTAATACAATAACCGTTTCAAAAAGATTCAATTTTTTTCTATTATGTTGTGAACGTCAAACGTTAATTGTTATCGAAACATTCAACAGTAGTGTTGGCGATGGTTATGTACAAGTAAGGTAAACAAAATGATGAAAGGAAAATGAAAACGCTCGGAAAAAATATACGTTTTCATTGTCATTATCTACGTTAAACGTTAAAGAATGTATTGGCTCAATATGTTTCAGATATTAAAACAAAGTATTATTTATATAAATATTTACTACTTGTTAATTATATGTCAATTACTTAGAATTTTTCTATTAAAACTTACAGAATATATTTATTATTTGATTTGCACAATAAGTTAAAATTTAGCTCGCTAAACGAATAGCAAATGAACCTATAAAATTGCAATTATAAATCTCTTAAAATTGCAATTATAAAAGTCACTTTAAAAATAACAACCTACTTACCAGCTACTGCAATAACAATTGACCAAAATGTCTTCATTTTTAGCTCTTTGGTTGTTTGATGAAAAAATGTACTCTTTAGCCTAGTAGCCTTCTAAAATGCGTATTCTCTGAATCTTTAATCTGCTGCAAACTTTTTAATGAATGAGAAAGTGATATTCGCAGAGTTTTACCGGAATAACTGTAATCGAGGGTGTCAAGTTTCAAAAAAAAAACTGTGTTGTTATTTGCAGATGGCAAATGTTTTTCAAGTGTTAAAACAAGGTGAGGTTAATTTTAAGTTAGCGTCACAAGCAATCTAAAAGTAATTGATACAAATAACAAAGATAATTTAAAGTAATCAAATCAAATAACAAAAGAACTTAGGCAAACATAAATAACTCAAAAGGAAAACGCAATTGCTTTTTAATTAAGAGGGAATCTGAAGTAGGGGAAAAAATTAAACAAATTTGGTTATTTCACACGAAGTAATAGTAGCATTATTGGTAAATGTTTTATGAGGTTGGTAATCCTTCCGTTTGTAGCTTTTTAATAAAAGTTTAAAAATTTAATGTATTTTTTTCATTCAAAAGTGACATTTTTTAAAGGTTAAGATCTTTTTATAAATATAATTGGCTTTAATTATTGTTAAAAAAAGATAAGAAAAGGTGATATTCTCACAATCATTCAAATAATTTGGACCAGTTTGTGACAGCGCACACATCACAGTGGCGACATGTAATTTGAGAGCTAAGGATGTAATCAGTTTATCATATCTATATAATAAAATAAGTCGCATGTAAAAGTAATTGGTTGTGAAATTATATCGGTTTTGTTTTTTTCCTGCAACTTATAAAGCAAGAATAAAGCGAAACCGATATATATATGATAATTAAAAATAAAATATAAAAAAAATTTAAAAAGATGAAAATAAAATTTAAACATATTATGAAATGTTTTTTGACATATTTAATAACGCTTAAAAACGCTCTTATTTCGCGAACTATAGAAAACATGTTTTATATTTATCACCGTTTATTTTAATCATTAAGTATGTTTTTCAATTAAATTTTGTTTTTAATTTTTTCAAAATTTTTAACTAAAATTATTTTTTAAATGTAAAACTGTATTTGTGTTGAATGTCAAAGTAGATATACAAAAACGTTATAAGCATCTTGCTATCACCGACATATATCGATTTATATTGATATCAATATGCCAATAATTTTAATTTCATTTGTGATTTAAAGCAATATAAAATAGTTTAAACAAAACATAAAGAATTTTAATAAAAAGTTTTAATTCAAAGTTTTAAACACTTTTAGAAATGCAAACAAAGTTTTAAAATATTAAAGAAACGAAAATAGAAAATAGTTTTATAATAAGTTTCCGAGGGGAAAAAAAACTTTTGATTTGATTTGTGGGATTTGGAGTTATGATTGTGATTTCGAGGACTTTGAAGGTTAGATGTTGATTTGTTGAGTTAGAAAAGGAAATTATGGTTTTATGGAACAATATGTGTTGACTAAGAAACAAAAGTTCAACCTTTAGCATGAGACATGATGACTAGTTACAGGGCTTTAAAACGTTATAAATCCATGGGGTAAAATGATACAAAAAGTTGCGTGCAAAAATAAACTACAACTATTTTTTAAAGACATCAAGTTTAAAAAAGTTTTTTTAAATGACTATGTACAAAGTTTTACTAGAGTTATTTATTAAATATAAAATTAGTTTATTTATTTTTTTCTTAATAAAAAAATACTTTTTTTAAGACGATCAAACCCATAGAACTTACTGTCTGACGTTCATACAAAATTGAATAACTCTTAATGTACACGTTAAGAATATTTTCTTTTTTAATATAATTGTTTTTTTTTTAAATAATTGTAATAAAGTTTTAATACATTGTTCTATCAATCCCATGGGGCTGGTTGCAGAAGGTGTGTATATTTTTTATTGCTTTTATTTGCTATACAATTATCTTCTGCCCATTCAAAATTTAGAAACGGTTTGGCATTCGTTTAAACAAACTTGAAAGAAATAAAAGAAATAAAAGCAAATTATTTTTTTCTATTGTTTATTTTGTATGTAATTTAAATTGAGTTTTATATGAAATTTTATATTTCATATAAATTTATGTAGAAAAATATAGCAAGTAAAATGGTTAAAAGACGTTTAATTACAGTTTTATTTGGATTTTTGTCGATTGACAAATTTACAATATTCTTTGCTAATGTAGATGGAAATATTCTAATGGATATTTTGTTCAGCATAATGCAAAGTTTCATAGTTGTGTGATAATAAATTTAACTAAATTTAAATAATTAATAAATTTAAATAAATAATTTAATCGATTAGAAAGAGCAGAGAAACATCTGCTACTAAACCAACTAGAGTACAAAAATAAAGATGAAGATTTTAAACATAATTTTTGTTTAATGAATCAGCTACCAAATAAGAGGGCTTTATTAATAGCAACTTATGAAATCATTTTGAAATATTTTTTCTGTGAAAGCTTTGACGGTGCATTTCATCGGGTTTCAATATTTGAGTTGGAAAAAATGTAAGAAAGTGCGCCGCTATCCTTGAAGATAGTACTTTGCTACGTAAGCTTAGTGCTATTGACCTGTTTGCCCAAGGTGCTACATATCACTCTACTTGTGTGGTAAGTCTCTATTGAAAATTTGATAGAAATCTTCAATAGAGTGTCCGATAAAACGTCATATAATAATTCTGACAAACAAAACAATCCCTAGGTTTTTGCTGAATTGAAGCAGTATATGATAAAAGAAACAATATATAAATATAAACGTCTAATTAATTAAAAATGTAGCTCTTGCTGAGCTATACCAAAAAATATTCAGTGAACACTACAACAATATTAAATCAATACAATAAAATTAAAGCACAGATTGTTGGCACATGTAGAAAATCTAAAGGAGTATAGTGGTAAGAGGATTTCCTACTTAACATTTGAAATGTTGGAAATTTTTTGCAGAATTGGTATAAAAAGAAATATGTAGACAAATCTTTAATACTGTCTGAAGCTGCAACGAGATACCGCAATTCAGCGTTATGACTTCAACGGCTGTTTTTCACAAGATTCTCAAAGGGAATTTGTTCCTGCTTTTTTAAAGTCATTTGGTAACACAGTTTTACAAGGGAATACAAGTAATGAATGTAGTCGAGTTTTGAAATAAACAACTTTAACATTAGTCAATTGATAATTTACAATAGCATGAAATATGTTTGTGAAAGCCATCATAAAACCAAGATTCAAAAAAGAAAAAAAGAAAATATCAGATCAGATCTTAAAATTTCTATTCAAAAAAGAAAAAAAGAAAATATCAGATCAGATCTTAAAATTTCTACTTTAGAGTTTTCTAAAAAAAAATAGTTGCCAAACTTTACTACCTTCTCAAAGATAAACCTAAAGTTGAGTTTTTGATCATTGATGGAGCTGCGTAAATATGTGTTTTAGAGCTGTGCTTGTAAATATTTTATAGATCAAGAATTGTAAAGCTTTTAAAGAATATTGAACCAAGGTATTCCAGCGACTCGTTTTCAACCAGTTACAGTTGTATGCAAGAGTTGATATTATTTAGGATGCTTACAAAATAAGCATACTTAAAGAATCGGCAATACAATAGCCAAAAAAGACAAGATATTTGTCGTCGTTTGTTCCCCGACTCAATAATTCCGAGTCATTTTTCAAATTTTTTTGGATCAATAGCGTTTTAATGCCCTGTAACTTGTCATCAGCTAGTTTTTTTCCATATAATATTTTTTGCTTCGTTTTTATTGAGTTTTCGATTGGAGTATAAATTAATAGATTTTAGAGACTAATTGTCAGCCATTTTTTTGCATCAATCAGAACAAAAAACAAATTATTTAAGTTTCAAATGCAAGTACATTGTCTTTAAAATAGACTTATTGTTTTGACACACGCGGATTCGGTGGTATTATTTCAAAATATCAACAAAGCCAATTTTGCGGCTTGAAAATATTTTTTTATTATTTTTTTAAGGTGCCTAAATAAGTCATTGCGGTCTTATCACAGAGCACCGTGGCAGAGAATTTAATAGGAAGTTCACGCCTCCTTTTAAGTTTAGGAATTTTTCATAAGATACAGTTATGTGGGTTATGGATATGGTCCGGAACTGGCGAAAGTCTATTTTCAAAAAAAAGACGTTTACACCCCTACCCAAGATGCTTTGTAACTGCATATCTCTAGATCTGTTTACCAGGCTTTATATTTCTAGGCATAATCATTGCATAAGAACCCATTATTGTATAATCCATATCTGTGGGTTTGAATTATGGAAGACAATATTTACAAAATTGTCTGGACAAAGATTTCGGAAACTTTCAAAATGTACAGTGACCTTATACGAAGTGGCTGCAAAATAGAGAACGGGTGTACAAGTTTTTGTAAATATGTAACAACATTACTTCTATATACCGCACTTTAAAATTGTCATGGTAATGTGAGCGTTAAGTTCATAATTTACTAAAAGTTTTAAATATAACGGGTTTAAAAGTTTAGGTAAAATTTAAAGAGTTAACTTTTGATATATAACGTTGTATTTTTACTTAATAAATATTAAAATTTATTATTTTGATATTATTCTGACAAAACCTTTTTTGAAATTTTTATTTTTGGCAAACTATTTGTGTCATAAGAAAATGTATGTAAAGTAAGCAGCCGTGGCGCGGTGGTAGTGCACTTGCCTTAGAATCAAAGGATCCATGGCAAGTTTTACAAAATCGATTAGAAAAGGAGGCGTGAACTTCCTATTAAATGCTCATCCACAATGTTCTTTGATTAGACCGTAATGACTTCTTGGGGCACCTAAATAAAACTTAAAATGTACACCTAAATTAAAAAATAATGTAACTATAATTCAAAAATCTTGGTAAAAAATATAAAGTTTTTAACCCTTTTTTTATGTTTACCTTTTTTATGTTTTTAAAGCCCTGCTACACGTTGCCAATTTATATTTAATAAATTTTTTTTTTTTTTTTTTTTTTTACAACTTTAAAAAATTTACACATCGTTACATTATAACTGCATATCATAAAAAAATCCAACGTAAAAAATATAACATAATAATACCACGTATAACATAGCATAATAAAAAGTGGTTTAACAAGTATAACTAAGTATAGATAAATTAATAGTGTTTTTTTATCATAAAAACTAGCAGTATTATTTAAAAATAAAAGAATAAAAGAAAAAAAGAAAAAAAAAAAGATAAGAAATTTTTTGTTACTTCAGATATATACATGTTGTTGTAAAGGAAAACTCGTAGAAGT